CACACAGAGCAGAAAGGGGGATGATAGAAGTACGTTCTACTTCATTCATAAAACAAATGCAGCGCGGCTCCGACATGGCAAACAGGCGAGCAGGCTGTCAGCAAACTGAAGGACGATACTTTTAGCACGGGGACACACCTTCCTACAGCGGATGTGCAGGTAGAGGCTGTTAAATGTAAATCGTTTCTTGGTTGTTTTTATTAAAAACAAACAACCTTTGTTCTATTGTATTTTAGAACGTATGCATGTAAAAGCATGACTTTGTTCTACTGCAGAGGAGACATCTTGCGGTGAGAAATGAGCCCACGGTGAGGAACATGTGACAGGAGCAGAAACTTTCTTCAGAAGGATAAAACACGGCTATCAAAGAACGTCTTTGGGTGTGTTTTGCAGTTTGAAATGTGAGAGAGCCTCGTTCCTGTGCTGTAAGCAGGACGGGCTTCAGGTTTGAAGGTGGCTCAGGACCCGAGAGTCAGGTGGGACCTCGTTTACTTTACATTTACTCTTTACTTCTGTTTTCTGTTGTTTTTATTCACTGTTCATGCTGTTTTTTTACGATACAAAACTGTGTGGTTACATTGAGGCACCCAGACTACATGGTTAAGTTTATTTTACTTAGAATACGTCTGTGCAGCTCTAATCCCTGAGCACTGGCTGCTAACCTCACTGTTGAATGTGGTGTATAAACATGCTGGATTATTCACTGTGATGCATATTATTCAGCTAAACAAGTTTGTCTCTCCTCCACTTTCAGCAAACTTCTTGCAGACTGTGACACCACATGGTGGAGATGTTTTTAATATGATCTCTTTCCGTACTAATGTGAAAAAGGTGTATTTAATAATATGTTATAACACTGGGTTGCAAAAAAATATATATTTTTGAAGGTGTCTTGGATTTTTTAACTGATTTAGGACATTTTTGCAACGCTGAATCCAAAAATGGCATCTGCTTTTCTGCATCAGGTCGGGTTTTTATGCCAAAAAAATGATTTTGCCACTAAATCGATTACATTTTTTGATATTAGCGACTGATTTATTTTAGTATTTCTCAGATGGAATCGGATTTTAGAGGGAAAATGTCACTTTCTAATCCTTTTCATAAGCTACATGATCCAAAAGTTGATGAGCGTAAACATCTGTAAAGGTAAATACAAGCAAACTACATGTTTCATCAAATCAAAATTTTGACCTCATTAAGCAAAACCAATGTAATATTTGGATTCAGCTCATTGCAATTGTCCAAAATCAGCACTGAAATGGGTGTACACCAGTGTTATATGAGACACACACACTCTCAGAAATGACATCAAGCTGAATCCTCCAAAACAAACTGAATTTTAGAACCTTTTCAAAGGCCAGCTATTGTTTTTAGCTACGTGTGCGTCACAAACTGGAAACGTATGCTATGTATTGCAATAAACAGACAGAGGTTTTCTAGGTCCCCGGGTGATATGTTGCCACAGCGTTGTAGCTCAGGGCTGAATTTACCCCATTGGTTGATAGAGCCTGGTGCATTTTAAACAATCACAATGACCTGATAACGACCAGCGATATTTAATAGGACGTGTTGGACTGAACTGGTCTGAAAATAATTCAAGATTTTTGCTGCTTGATACAAATAAAAACTATGTTGGCTCTCATTCCCCATGAGAAATCTGACGTCTGTCTGAAGATCATTTACACTTTATTTCATCTACAAGACACAGATTGC